GCTTATGAAAAATAAAGAAACGCCCAAAGTTTTCGCTTATGAAAAACACAGAAACACCCAAAAAAAGGTAGGGTGCGGCGAAGAAGAAATACACACCTGGTGGTTGATCGGAAGAGTGCGACGACGACGATGGTAGCTTCTGCTGGTGGTTGTGTTGGGTTAGCGATTAGAAATATTTTTAAAACAAAATGGGACCTAAATGATCGAGATTTGGGTATTTTATTATAATTTACGGCATTTTATTAATAAACGCCACTAAAGTATGCACAATAGCGGCGTTTGTATACACAATAGCGGCGTTTGTATACACAAATGCCACTAAAGATAAACATTTTGTGACGTTTTTCAAAAAATGTCACTATATTTTAACTCTATTGCGATGTTTTTTACACAAACGCCACTATATATCAAGCTATTGCAGCGTTTTTTACATAAACGCTACTAAAGAACACGTTTGTCGTGGTGTTTACTCAAAAACACCACTATATATATGATATAGCAGCTTTTTTACATAAACGCCACTAAAGTACATGTTTTAGCAGCATTTTCACAAAAACACCACTATATATCTGGCTATAGCGGTGTTTTTTATACAAACGCCACTAAAGTATGCATTTTTAGCGGCATTTTCACAAAAATACCACTATATATCTAACTATAGCGGCGTTTTTTACATAAACGCCACTAAAGTACGCATTTGTAGTGGTGTTTCCAAACAGCCATTATATATTAGGATATCGTGGTGTTTGTATAAAACTCTGCTATATGTAAAAAAAATTAACGGCGTTTTCTCTAGAAACGCCGCTACAAATATGTTTTGTTGTAGTGTATGTACAAGTTCAAATTTAATATATACTAGTACTTTAACGGCTAATTTTTCTTTTGTTCTTTTCTCAATTTTTTTAAACTCTACTTCTTTGTATTAGTGGGAGTTTGTTGATAAGATGTTATGTAATGAAAAAAGTATTTTGTCCCCTTAATTTTTTTGCTAAGTAAAATTATTTTACCTTATTAGTTTTTCAATCTAGCTGACTGGGTTTTATCTGCCAATTTGCACTAATGTATTTTTAAAATTTATTTAATATCTAAGTTAAAATGCTTAAGGATCAGAATGGATGAGTGGTGGGGAGATATTTTAGGCAACCAACTAACCAAATTTCTTAGTTGTCTAGAATTTTTTAGTATTTTGTCATGTAGTAGTTTCTTCATTATTTGCTTCTTGTTTTTTGCACATCTTTCTCGAGTTCCACATTTTCATTTTAAAAGTACGAAATTTGAAAGATTTTATTAAACTAGAGGCGATGTTACGGTTACATCAATGTGGATGAATTTGCTTCTACCGTAGTGAATCATAATGATACAATAATTAGACAAGATAAACTTGATTAAATGATTTACCAGATCCAAGACCATATATGAAGTCGAACAGGATGATTTAAACATGATATGAAACTTGAAACAAACCAAATTGAACCAAAACCAACCCAAAATTTACTTGGACCGATATAAATATAGATATAGATCAAATTTAAATGGAACTGAAAGCAGCTCGAATTAAGAGTGACATGAACTGAAAGTAATCTAACTTTAATTTTCTTAAATATAATTCAAACCGTACATCAATCTAATTTTAACACGATAATTGAGTCAAAGTAAAATTATGTATATTTTATTTTTTTTTATTATACTACTAGTTAACTACCACCTTTAATAATAGTTTATTGATTTAATATAATATTTTCTCCTTTAAAGGCCTATCTATATATCTTACACGATAATTTTTTTCTTTTAAATATTTGATATGAAGGATTATAAAATAAAGCTACTCACACTCTAAAATTCTAGTCTATGTGATTAACTTTAATTAACGTCACTTAGACGGTAACTTTGAAATAAACAAATTTCACCTTTTTATTACAAATATAAATTAATATGAAACATAAGTCTCAAATATAGATTTCTCATTCAAAAGTGATATGTAACTATAAACCAAGTTAAATATTTGCATTCAACTTTCTTACGTATCAAACTCAGTTTTATTGTGTTTCTTACTAAATAGTTTCTTGATAAAGCATAAAACATTAATAAAGTGGTCTTAAAATTTAAACTGCAGCCTCTTAAATTTTATAATGTTGGAGACAAAACAATGTATGCATCAACTGTTGGATTTTGTTGTAGTATATCATCCTTTATTTAAGAATTAAATATTTTTTCCTTTTAAACAAAATTGATATATAGATTATTTTTATAATATACAATTTTTTTTATTTAATATGATTTAAAATTAAAATATTTTTGGAGTATAATATTTTTTTTATAAAAGTAATTAAATCAATATTCAGTCAAATATAATTATTGTATCATGGTTTTGCCTTAATTTTCTCTCTTTTCTTTGATCATCGTTAGTCTTTTTTCTTTTTTATCTTTGTGATCGGCGGTGACTGGCTCTAGTCGTCGACCGTCAGTATCCATTTTTTTTATTATAGTGTATCTTTGTTTTTCTCGTTTCTTTAATTTTAATAACTTGTCTTTATATCATGTTTTCCTTTGTCTTTATGGCACGATTTTCTATGCATTTATAACACAGTTTTTGTCATCTGGTCGTTGATTTCATTTATCTTTTTTTTCTCATGGTTTGATTTGGCATCATCACAACTTATCAAGATGCCTACTTTGGGCCCTCGAATTGGATTGGGTATGTGATTTGCATTCGTGGATAGTTTTCGCACGTCGCTCGACTCTGATATGTGGTTTATTGATGGTCTCATAATAGCTTGATCTTCTTTTGTAGTTCGTTTGTCGATGCAGTCAGATTTATTCGTATCTACCTTTTTTTACAACTATTCATATCTACCTTTTGTTCGAGTTTATTTGGTTAGGTTATTAACTTTTTCCTTATATGGTACTTTTGTGATCTTAAGTGACTAGTTTTATTGTGTTAATAGTTATAGAAAAATGTATTTATTATGTGTTTAATTTATGGTCATAGTTGTAAACCTTCATTGTAATTTAAATTTTTTTCTATTTTTAATAAAACTAGTGGCTTCTACTTAAAAAATATAATTATTGTATAATATTTTTAAAACTTAATAAAATCATATTCATAATTAAATATAAACAAATAGTTAAAAGTTTTAATTAAAAATAAAATATTTATATTTGTTTTATTAATATTTAATATTTATATTTGATTATCTTATATGTAGAATGAGATTGAGCCTAACAAAGGAAAGAAAGTAGGCATATAAATTACGGCCAGATCCAACCCAAAATAAAAAGCTTTGGGCCCACCATAACACTCCCTCAGCCGATCTGGTCTTGTTAGAAGGCCACGGAAACTAAGGCGTTTATCGAACGAGTCGATTATAAGTTGAGTAGTGTTCGACTTATGTTCGTTTAAAAATGAGTTGCTCGATTTGCTAGTCGTTAAGTTCATTAAAATTTTTCTCTGACTTATGCTTGTTCAAAAAATTTATTGCTCGACTCAACTAATTACTCGTTAAACTTACCAAAATTTTATATATATTATATATATATATATATATGTAAAATCTACTAATATTATATAGAGCTTAATATAAACATAAATTGATAAATTTAACTAATTTTTTTTAAAAAGATATATGAAGTAATTTTAAAGTCTAAATTTTAAAATAATAATCCACAAATGCACAAAATTAGAAAAACTAGTAGTAATTATTAATTAGTAATTTACAGTGTTTCTTATTATGTAGGGTAAACTATATGTTTAGTATGTAAACTATAAGATTTGTTTCGTTTTAGTATGTAAACTTTCGTTTGTTTTAAAATTACCTAATGTTTACTTTTTGTTTCATTTTATTATCCGCAATTAAAAACATAACATAACTATTGCACATGACATTTTTTATTGGTGAATTACAACACGCATCATTAACTATCTTCTCACTCCTATTTTGGTCACGAAAGTTTAACAATTTTCAATTTACTATTCAACTTTCAAATTGCTCAGGTTGTAACCACTATAATTTATTTTATTAATAATTTTGTGATATGACATTGTTTATTATTATTTTATTAATATATAATTAAAATAAAAAATTAAATTTGAAAGTTAGAGTGATTAAATTAGGATTATTTTGAAAATTAAGTAGTTAAATTAAAAAATTAAACTTTAGTAGCCAAAATAGGAATGAAAAGATAGTTGAGTGATGAATAATATAATTTACCCATAAAAAGTGTCATTGCAACAGTTTCTCTAGGTTTTTTAACGAAAAGGTACCAAAAGACAAAAAAGTAAATGTTAGGTATGATCTTAAAACAAATGAAAGTTTAGGTACTAAAACAAACAAAACTAATAGTTTAAGTATTAAACGTATAGTTTATATTATTAAATATTAATAAATTATTAATTATTATTTAATTTTTTAATGAAATAATTTTTAAAGTAACTACTAAAAAATTATAAAAGTATTGACGAACTGCTCGCGAATATATCGAGTCGAATTGAACCTTTCATCTCAACTCAATAAGATGTCTAATTAAACTCGAGTTAAGTCAAATTAACTCGAATCGAATTCCAACCGCTTAGCAAGCGCTCAACTCATTACGCACCTCCTACCCGGGACAGCTGCTTTCTTGAATGTAGTTAATAATTATACCCATGAAGGCAAAGAAACAATTTGACACGGTTATAGGAAAGCAAATTCAATGTCACCAATAAATGCCCACCACTTGTTCCTAGAACCAGAGTATCTAGACACCTTCCATCTTCACTTCTGTCGCCTTCTTCTCTAACCAAGTGCTTTTGTTTTTTCTGGTTTTAAATTTCCAATGGTGAAAACATAATTGCGGTAAATTTACATAGTAAATACAAATGCAGCTTACAGGCTAGTATTATAGAGTAATTATCAAATAATAAATCAGAAAACTCATCAGTATTCAACCAGCGTCGACCAGTTCTGCAACGACGGTTATTTATGCATTTGATTTTGGAATGAATCAATACTTTTTCTTTTTTATCCACGAATTCATTAAGCAGCTACTCTTGGAACTTTCATGCCGAAACCACGCTTTGCTTTCTTAACACTGTTTCAAAATCACATTAACAATGCTTCAGGAATATTATCATAGTAAAAAGTAAGACTATAAATAAATGAGACAAGAAAAATTACGAGTTATTCTAATTCGACTCGATCAAAACTCGAATTGAAAGTTCTAACTAGACTTGTAAAAATCCAGAAACAACTTAAAAAAATAATATATTAAATTTTTAATTTTTATATTAAATTATTAATAAATTACCGTTTATATGTTATTTTTTTAAAATACAATATAAGCCTCTTATGTACTTAAACTTCAACTTTAAACTCAAGTTCGAGCTTGAATCAAATTCAAGTTGAGCTTCAATCGAACTATCTCTGAGCAATGGCGGATCCAAAAATAAAAAATGAGGGTTCAAAAATTTTAATATTTTTTCAATAAAATGGGTATACAAATTTTTTTAATTTTTTCTCCTTTCTTAAATATATTGAACTATATTTAATAATTTATACAAAATAATAGGTATGCCCTTGGCCCCCTAAAGGGCCAAGTGCATCCCGCTCCTGTGTCTGAGAATGTTTCAAGTTCAAATTTTTGGCGCTTTGAGTTAGGTCAAGCTTCATTTTTTTTTTTATTTCAAGTTCAATTTGAGCTCGATAATTTTAAGCTTGCAATCTTTCGAGTTTAGTCGAGCTCAACATTAAACTTTTTGAGTCAAGACAAACTTTAAATGTTTTGAGTCGAGTTGAACTCAATATTACTCTAACTCGACTCATTTACGGCTCTACTAAAGAACTCCCATGAAAGTGTAAGGAGATGAACCAAACATTAGAAAGAAGGAAAAAAAGACAGAAGCAGCACATACGTTGGGGCAAGTTTGCCGAGGCTATGTAGCTCTGCACCAGTATCTTCATCCAATACTTTGCCTGATATCTCTATTATGTAAAATCTATCTCTATCAGTTGGAAGCCCTCTACTAGCAAGCAAGTCCAAATCTTTTTGATGGAGCTCTCTCCCATTTACGAAAACACCAGTCGTCCCACCAGCACAATTATTTGGCATCGGATAGTTAAATTCTTCGATACATGGCTGCAACAGAAATTTATTTGAGAAACATTATGTACAAACCAAACGACAGACGCTTATCTATTAATATCTATGCAATTTGATCTTACATGAATTATGCCGAGACAAGGTCCGCCCAGAACACCCCAGAATCCAGCTCGGAAATCATACCTGATTTATGCATTTGCAACAAAAGAATGTAAATTATGAAAATGCATGAGAAACTACATGCTCGAAAAGCAGATAGATACATTGAGATCAGGTAATATCAGTTGCAGGTTTTATTTATCAGGCTTGATTAAAATAATCCTCATTTGGATTTATTCCTTTACATGTGAATGTACACATTTATCATGTGATAGACATGCTAAGACTATTGAAAAAGAATAGAAAGGCAGATCAGAAAGAAAACCAATGTACCCTTACCAATACTGTCCCGGATGAATTGGTCCGGCCATCTTTTCAGCTTTCTTAACCATATGTTCAGGTAGAGAATGTCCGTTAACTGAAACATCACTTTTCCCATGTTCATCTCCCCTGGTTGTATCCCCAGAATCTTGAGAAATCCCAGTATTAGAGTACTCATTGGATGACACCTCTATCTCGGTAGGTAATGATGCTCAAGGAAGCACGGGGACGGCAAACTTGTGCCGTTTCATGTACCCGATACGTCCCCGGTACGGGGACGACACGAGGACGGCTGGGGTACCTACCAAGGACGTGCCACGATGGCAGGGTACGGCTGAACGACGCCGGGGACGTTTCACCGAGTCTTGGGGAAGGCATTTTCGACTTTTTCGACGTCGGAGGAGGTGGTGTCGAGACTGTTGTTTGACTTGGCTATGTCGGCTAAAGCAGTAGCGTAGCTGGAAGCCGTTGTGGCTGACATTCTGGCACCGCCGTTGAGGGGGCGAGAGGCGGAAAGTCCGAGGGAAGGGAAAGTGGCTGAGAAGGAGAGGTTGAGGGAAGGAAGAGCTCTGGTGAGCTGGGAGGAGCTTTGATTGAATGGCGATTGAAGTCTGCTGAAGGGAAGCCATTGATGAAAGATTGAAACTTTGGGATGAAAGATTCGAACTTTGGGAAGATGAGGAAAATTGAGGAAGAAAAAAAAAAGGGGATTTTGATTTCTAGAAAACAAAAGGGGTTATCTTGAATTAGAAGAGGAGGGCCACTTATTTTATAGGCCGTATCTTGCCGTCCTCGTACCCTATAATTTTTAAAATTATCATTTCCCGTCCCTGTTTCCGTATCCGTATCCGTGCAACATACATGATGCTTCATTGAAAGAACTTTGTCGTGTGGTAGCGTTGTTGGACAAGACATTTTCTTGATCAGAGTGACTATATGGTTTCCCTTCCCGAGTCGGTTGACTGCATTATTGTTACTAGAGTAATCAAAGTGCTCCTGAAGAGGTGAACCTGCAGGCGGGGGAGGCAAAATGGATCTGATCGGTTGCTGAGCAGAATTAACTTCCTCTCTTGAGGCAAGTAAAATGTCTGCACTGTTTTCAACCTCAGAGATGATTGGAGATGAAGAATGAAAGGTTTGCATTTCCTGAGGTCTGCCTGAGTTCAAAGCCTGACCCGTTGACGGTGTAACCAGTTCTCTGTCCATTGACTGGAACTCATAACCCGAATGAACATAGTCATCAAACGACAAGTTAGCAGAAATTTGGTTCTTATGGCTGTGGAAATGCGAGGAACTATCATTCGCAACTTCATTAGAGATATCATCAGCCTCCATAGAAATCCCCTTCATTTTTGCATGATCACGAAGAACATGACTCCTGTTGGTGATATTAAAATTTATCACAGTAGAACAGGCTCCACAATGTAATTTATTTTCATTTTTCACTATGAGCTGCAGTTTCCTGGGGATTTGTAGTAGCTCAAAGCAATTATAACACGTTATAAAAGGAGCACCAGCAGCTATAGGACAAACACGGCGTTTACCTCTGGTTAATACCATCCTCTGTGGACGACCCCGAACAAATCCACCAATTTCTGAGCGAGTATCTTTTGGCAATCTAGCATGTGCTTGTGTACCATGTACATCCAATGGAGGAGGCACATCAGTCCTAGAACCGAAAGCCCCAGAGTTTTGAATATGGTAGATTGGATTAGTAGGCATATCAGGGAATCTTCTATTACCAAATGCACCGGATGGAACAGGAACTTGCAGATGCTTTTCATAACAATGAAAACAGGAACAAGAAGCATGGTGCAACATCGAACTTTGCAGATATTGCATGAATGGGTCACGATTACTGTCAATGTTCCCTCTAGGAAAGTATGGGTGAGGTGGCTGTTTCTGGTATGCCCCAGCCAACTGATGAGAAGTTCTTCCCAACACTTGGGGTACAAATGCATTTCCATATGGAGGAGCATAATTTGGATTATGCGTCGGAGGATACAACCCCGGTCGAGTCATTTCATTTCCAACAGGATAAGCGAACGGTTCTGGAAAATGACTGAAGTAAGATGGTTCTGCCCTATCAGCATGTTTATCAAGTCCATAGAAAGGTAACGGAGGCTTTTGTGATCCGGAAGAACCATTTGGAAACCAAGAATAAGCACCGTCATATGACTCTGGAGGAGCAACCCTCCCGTCAACTGGAACCTTCTCTTTTGATTTATCAACCATGACACAAGACCGACTGAGTTGGTCCTTTAGCTCATCTAGCTTCCTCAGAAGCCTAGCTCGATCTTCTTCAAGGAGAATTCTACCAGAACCATCTTGGTCCATTTGAGCCTGCAATGATTCGACGTACCCATACAAAGAATCCAAATGATGGTTTGATGGGCCCTCATCTGAATTGTTTGAAGTTGAAAACCACACATCTTCTGCATCAGTTGTTTGGATTCTCAGAAAACCATCCATCTCTTCTTGCTTCCTAACTTGCCAATCTGATATCTGTCCTGCGCTTTGTGATCCACCAGTATATCCAAATTCGGAATCAAAATCCCCGTGTTCTCTTACATCCAAACTTACTATTTTATCTTTATTCAATCTAATGTTATTACCTTTCTCAACAGGGCATGTATCAGCAACAATTTTAGCTTCTTTCCTACTTATGTGAGTGCAGTCAACATCTGCATCCCTTTCATCACACCTTAAAGAGCCAGCATTGATTTACCATCTGCATCATAGGTGTCACTTGAGTCTACCAATTCTTATCGGATGAAATTTGGGACTTAGTAGAAACTCTGCCGAGCCCGTCTTCTCCTGACTTCTCTGAGAAAGTTTCTGGTTCACGATTCCTAATTTTTTCTGTTAAACAAACAATATTCCACCATCAAAATTAGGAAAGGCTATATAAACTTTATGGAAGAAACTCTGCCCATCGTATTGCAAAGGATATAAAGAAAAGGTTCAAAGAACAACAGGAAACTGAAATTCAAAGCCTGAAATGATCTCATTATTTAATTTCAACAAAATTAAGCCAGAGAGTCATGTTATAACACACAATTCATTTCTTTTCCTATAAAATATAGCATCCTTATACGAATTTGTAGTACGGTTTGAATGAAAGAACAAAAACCCAACTTTGAATCTCCAATAATGCAGCCATTGCCAACAAATACAAAACAAACAACTAGCAATCAAATTCTAATCATATTTAATTGTCAAAAAGAGCCATAAAATCCATACCTTCACTAAGGTTTAACCAATTAGTTGAAGTTTCAAGTTAACCCAGATCCCAGACTCGCAACAAGTATATTTCTCTCGTCTTCAACAACTTTCTCGTCTACCAAACAATCACCTACGAAAAAGAAAGAAAGAAAAAAGAGAAGAAAGGATATATATCTCGAAGAACAGCAGCGCAGCACCACATTGATAAATAGAATAATCAGCAAATTCTGGGATAAGGTTTTTCACACGTAGGACAGCGAACCAACCTTTTCACACGTTGTATAACGAACCAACCTTACTTTTGTTGACTCGGCCAGTTTTTTAGTGATTCAAGACGGGCCATGTTTTTTAAGAGCTTGAAAGAAAATCCCCGAATGCTCTTGCAAGTTGCAACAACCATCACCATCAAACTCCTAAACTAATAGATGCTTTTAAGCGAACTTTGGGAACCCAGAAATAGAGAGCTAGGGAAATAGTTGAGGTTGTGTAAATTTTTAAGAAGCAAGTTTCTCTGTTGTGTTCTCCTGGTTTTCTCAGAGATCAAACAGAAAAGAGGAAGTTGGGAAAATTGTTAAGATAATTTACCAGGGAGGGAAAAACAATGAAGCAAGCTAAACTTGGTGAAAACACTCGGAAACAGTTTGTGTTTAGTCTGTTCTATGTTTTTACCTTTTCTGGGCTATTTACGTACCATATTAATTAGGGGTATTAACTCGTAATCTGTTCGAATTTAATTTAATAAAATTTTAATTTAGATTAATTTAACTTAATTTAAGTTTGACTCGAGATTTAACAATTTGAGTCAAATAGAGTACAACTCAACTTGATAAGTTCGTGAGCAGATTGTTAATTTTTTATATAATTTTTTAATAGTTATCTTAAAAAAATTATTTCATTAAAAAAATATTAATTTACTAATAGATAATAAAAAATGATAAATTAATAATCTATTAATTTTTTAATAAAAAATAAAAAAATTATTAAATTATTAATTAATATTTTATTACACTCAAAAATTAAAATTGAGGGATTGTTAGAATTAAAATTAAAAGTTCTGTGTTTAGTGATAAAAGAATCAGCTTGGATCTGTAACATATAATTTATTTCATCAAAGGTACTTGGATGGGAAATTATGAGAATACTCCGGTAGGGTAAAATTATAAAAATACCCTTATATTATAAGATGACAAGAATTGTCTCTGAAAGTTGGTTAATAACTCTAAAAAGACATATTGATCCGGTAAAATTACAGATGTGCATAAGAAATGCTAGTTTTGCTTAGAAGATTCGGATAACTGGTTTTTAACACCATGAGGGTTTATGCAAGATGCTAGAAGTATGTTAAGGGAATCATTTCAAGATCAGAGAATGTTCGGAAAAGCAATTAACCATAGGTCTCTAAATTATAATTATCTTTGTTAAGAGTTTTAATATCGAAATTATATGGTTAAGAAATTACGAAATTACCCTTGAGAGGAAAAAGTAGCCCGAATTGACCCTGAATGGAAAAGTACTCAAGAAATCATGCCTAAATCGATGAATTACTAGTTTCATCGTTAAGTTACACATTTATACAAAATATTTCTGATAATCCGTAAATCTCAGAGTTTTGAGTAAATATATGAAGAATAATTTATCGATGGTGCTCTTTTGACAGAATTATTTGAAATGACTGAAATAAATGATAAGTTTGAATTTGATAATAAGATCGGACGGAAGGAAATGATTGTAATACACTGAATCTGTAAAATGACCAAAATACCCCTAGAATGAAAAAGACCAAGGATATCACCAAACTCAGGAATGATTGGATATCCTCGAGCTCTGGAATTAATGGAATACAATTGAGCACTAGAATGACCAAAATACCCTTATAGCCTAGACTAAGTAGATGTTTTGGATTAATTAAGGAATCCAAGTAAATATGGGTGTTGTACTACCCTTAAAAGTTATGGAACATAACTTCAATGAGCCGATCAACCCCAATGATATGTCAGTACCTGAACGACATAGATATTACTTGAATAAGCGTTCGTCTTCTCAAGTTTGGCTCGATGATAATTTTGGAAGTATTCAGCTCAGCTCAATTCTAGATCGCATTCTGTACTAAGAAGGGGATATTCGTTAGACAAACCAACCATGAAGACCAAATTAAGATGAGCGGAAGTACAATATGTATCTGAAATTCAGAAACGTCCGAATTACTTTGGAAAACTCTGGAGTAACTAGGATAGACTTGATTACTAGATGAACCAAATAACCTCAAGGACTGAGGATTAAGTGAGTGATTAGGATAAGTCTGGAAACTCGGATGAACTTACATGATGTATCATCCCTATGGGTTATGAACCACTAATCAAGTACGTCAGCATTTCATTATATCGTGGAAGCGTGGAAATGAAATAAAGAATATTGGAAGATCTATTCAACGATGATTCTGAAGATGATTTATGGATAAGAAATTTTGGCATTAAAGAGTAAATACCCTGGAATGACAATGAATTAACCAGTTGACAAGCATAAGTTCTGGGAGTTATTCGATAATCCGACCAATCGATATAGAATGAATCTTCGTTTCCTCCTTATCAGCTGAAATCACGTTATGCATAACTGATGATTTTGTCAGTTAATGAACTCTTCCAATAGTGATTCAAACTTCCTGCATTCTATCGATACACAGAAGATCCTTGTTTCTCTGCCTGATAAGATTATCCAATCTCTCTGAATAATATATGTAAACACTAGTGTGTTCCCTAATCACATAAATATTTTATCTGATTTCCGAATTGAATTCTATTATAATACATGACATGAATTCTGTTCTGATTTCTTATCTAGATTCTGTTCTGATATCTGATCTGAATTCTGTTTTGATTTCTGATATCTCCGTTTACTGACAGAGAAATGTTTTATATGAGGGGTTTATTGTTGGAGGAAGTATATCTGTAGGCTTCTCGGATGTGTGCTCAGGGCCTTACTGGTTGTGTGGGGTGTATGGTTCTGGGGAACCTACACAAATAGATTGTGAAAGGATGGGGGTAGTGTTCATGTTTTAAAATATATATGTTTTAAAAGATATGTATCTTTTTACTGGTTTTACGGGAACACACTAGATAACTTATTCTGATCTCTTGAACCTAGACATCCGAAATATTTCCATATAAACTGAATATTATTTGTTACTACCTGAGATATCAATGGGACCTCAGTTCAGCCTAAAAATCTGTAGATATCTGAATCAATAAGGGAATATATGTTTATCTGTATCTGCACGTTCTTCAGCATCATTTGTTAGTTATGTATTACTGAGCTTTTCGAAGCTCACTCTGTTACTCATCTTTGCATGTTAAAAGAATTGTACCAGTGCAGTTATCGACTTCAGTAAGGGAGTTTATTACTTTATTGATTGCTCCATGTATGTATTTCCATATTTTGGGTGTCTTTATTTATTTAGCAGAGCCTATTAAGTGTTTTAGTTGTTGTTGCTTAGTATGACTGATAGGGAACAAATTAGATAGTGCAAAACGTTTACCCTTTTATTTAATATAATACATTATCATTTTTTGTAGAACAAGTATTTGTAGACACTAACAACAGCTTAGGAGGCTACAAGTGTGGATGAGTTATCTTTAGCATCAGCTGATCCAGATAAGATATTTTTTGAGGTTGCTGGTGGAGTAAGCTCGAAGGGTCGGGTATTTGGTGTTGGATCCGCAACTCCCATATACTATAATACATCTCAGACTTCTGGTTCTTCAAAAAGGTTCATACCACGAAATCTAGAGCAACAAGAAGAGATCGATACATTAAAAGAGTAATTGAGGCAAGTCCAAGAACATCAAGATATGCTAATGAATATAGTAATATCACAACAACAAGGATACTCTCAGATGCTTTTCGAAGCAAACTATAATGGACAATCAGGTCGTATAACGCTATTTCAATCAAATATTATATATGATTATAATTATTATCAATCACAAGTTTATTCTCAACTAATTATTTGTTTTTTAGGTTTCTACCCTTTGAATGCATCATCCTCTACTTTATCCAGGGTTCAGTGCCATACAACCTCCTATGCATCTAACTTTCAGAGGCTCAACTAGCACTTCGATGCCTTTGCACCCACAAACGAGAGGTAGCGCACCTTTGGCACCTTTTTCCAGCCTCCCAACAATCAAGAAGAAGTTTATTATCTGATTCCTCCATCACAATAATCCAATGAGGATAATGCTTCATATTTATTTTTAGGTTTTTGATGATTGTGTTTTTGTTAAAAGATTCTCTGGTGATAATTTTATCATCTTTTTACTTTAAGTTGATGATATGTTTATTGTTGGTTGTAATGCTTCTAGAATTGACAAGTTGAAGCAAGAGTTGAGTAAATCCTTCATGATAAAGGATTTAGGGCTAGTAAAGCAAATTATTGGCATAAGGTTGACACATGATAGAAAGGTCAAGAAATTGTGGTTATCATAGGAGATGTACACTTATAAAGTACTTCAAAGATTTAGTATGGATAGAGCTAAAACGGTGAATACCCCATTTGCTATGCACTTTAGATTTAGTGTCAAGGATAGTCCTTCCATAGAAAACGAGAAGGAAGAGATGCAAAAGGTTACTCACTCTTCAGCCATAGGTAGTATGAAATATTCAATGGTTTGCATGAGACCAGACTTGACTTACATTTTTGGTACAGTTAGTCAATTTCTTTCTAATCTAGGCAGGGAGAATTAGAATGCAATAAAGTGGATTATGAGATAGCTTTGTGGCACTTCCAACTTAAACCTTTTTTCAGCAATGAGAAATATTTTCTTGTTGGATATACAAGATCAGACATGGCCGGAGACATTGACTCAAAGAGATCTACTTTAGGTTACTTGATCACTTATGTAGGGGGAGTTGTGGCATGGTAATCAAGATTGCAAAAGTATGTTGCATTATCCACCACATAATCATAGTTCATTACAATGACCGAAGCATGTAAGGAGATGGTTTGGATGAAGAAATATGTTCATGAACTTGGATTTACTCATAGGAGGTATGTCTTCTATTGTGATAGCCAAAGCGGGATTCATCTTGGTAAGAACTCAACTTTTCATGCTAGATCTAAGCATATTGGTGTATGGTACCTTTGGATACGAGATGTTCTGAAAGCTAAACTATTAGAGCTTGAAAAGATTCATACTAATGATAGTGGTGTTGAGATGTTGAT